GCAGGAAGAGCAAGAGACTAGGCTTGGTGTGGCCTTTTCAAAGCCCACCACCAGGGACATACCTCCTCCAAAGCCACACCTCCTCCAACAAGGCCACACCCCTTAATCCTTCCTAACTGTCCACCATCTGGGAACCAAGCATTCAAATACAGGAGCCTATGAGGGCCATTCTTATTCAAACCACGACAGGGGGACAAGTACTTGAAGGGGATACAGAGATTTTGTTCCCTTCCAGTATTTCTGTTTGCTTCCGGGCTACTGTGCAGGGGAAAGGCGTCCTCTACAGCAGACTCTCACCATAATGATGCACTGTATGCAACAGAGGCATGCACCACTGACTGACCTCTAAAAGTGTGAACCAGTGGAAACGCTGACCTTATCAGATGACTTCATGGGCATTTTATCACAGAAGCAAGGAACTGACACACCAATCTAAGGGAGATTTTAAAACAAAGGTTCCTGAAGACAAGGAAAAACGTTTTATTCTTCTTAGAGATTGTGATTCTCTCTAAAAGAAATATGGTGACACCAGGAAAAAAAACAAGGAAAAATTGGTTGACTTTAAGGGGGGGGGGGGGGGGGAGGGTTAGAGAGATGGCTCAGTGGTTAAGAGCACTGACTGCTTTCCCAGAGAACTCTGGTTCAACTCCTAGCACCCACATGGCACCTCACAACTGTCTGTAACTCCATTTCCTGGGGACCTGAAACCCATGGCAAAACACTAATGCACAATAAAAGAGAGAGAGAGAGAAGGGAGAACAAATCATCTTTGAAATCTAGTTTCTAGACTTCTGTACTTTCCCCATAGATCAGGTTACCGTACCTAGAACAAGAAGTTGCCTTGAGTGGTTTACTTGAAGAGAACGTCTCTGTATTTGACATCTTTCATAGATACCTTGGCAAAGTTTTCAATTCCAAAGTAGACAATGTGCCCTGTTGCCAAAGAAGCCTGGGATGAAAGGGCTGTCTTCCACATGGTCACTAGCCTGGAGCTCTGAGGTTAATAAGTTCATTTAAATGTAGTTTGGAGCCTCGAACATTTTCTCTTGTAAAATCCAAATTAATAATGAGTTTTTCAGCCAGTGTTCTTAAACCACAGTGCACCCAGAGCTTCTCGTCTTCATTCTCTTGATTGCCCAAGATCACCCATGATAGATAGGACACACTAGCACCTGCAGTTTGTATACAGGAAGGATTTTGGCTTTTTTTTTTTTTTTTTTTTTTTTCTGAGACAGGGTTTCTCTGTGTAGCTTTGCGCCTTTCCTGGATCTCGCTCTGTAGACCAGGCTGGCCTCGAACTCACAGAGATCTGCCTGGCTCTGCCTCCCAAGTGCTGGGATTAAAGGCATGTGCCACCACAGCCCAGTGGATTTTGGCTTTTTAAAAAGATTCTTTTTTTTAGCCGGGCGGTGGTGGCGCACGCCTTTAATCCCAGCACTCGGGAGGCAGAGCCCGGCGGATCTCTGTGAGTTCGAGGCCAGCCTGGGCTACCAAGTGAGTTCCAGGAAAAGGCGCAAAGCTACACAGAGAAACCCTGTCTCGAAAAAATAAAAAAAAAGATTTTTTTTACATTTATTTACTTTGCGTACATTCATGTATCTCTTTATGTATGTGTGGGAGCACATGTGCCACAGTGTGCATTTGAAAATCAGAGAGCAAATTCAACCGTGTGTGGGTCCCAGGGGTTGAACTCGGGCTGTCAGGCATGGCAGCAGTATCCCTTCTGGTCTTGTTGGCCTGTTGCTTCTTTGCTAGGTACATCTCTAACTAATAAACAAGAAAAACTCATTCCTTTATTCCAAGTAAGGCAAAGGTGAGTTAGGACTGGCTTTGATTATGGGCCACCATCTCTGTCACCCAGTTGATAAGAGGTCAAGCATACCCCCCTTCAGTCCCATCCCTCTTTACAGAAACCATTCCCCAGTTTGCCATTACCCAGCATGCCTGTCAGCAGAGCCTTGGATATGTTTGCTCTACCGAGGAATCTGCCTTTATATTAACAAAAGAAAGCCATAGACTAGTACGTGAACACTCACTGACACAGCGTTTGGTGATGGTGGAGGAGGAGCAAGAGGACCCTCTTAGCCAGTTCCTTGTCTTAAAAATCTTACAATTTTTATTTTACTAAAGAATCAAAACTACAGTGTAACTAGGAAGAACATCCTTTGTTTTGACAGTCCTACTCTGCTACATCTACACAGCCATAGATATACACTAAGGAAGTGTGAAATGTGGAGCTAAAAAAAAAAACTTTTGAATAAAAGAAAGTTGTGAGCTGGAGAAATGGCTCAGTGGTTAGGAGCACTTGCTGCTCTTGCGGGGAACCCAGGTTTGGTGCCCAGCACCCATGTCAGGTGATTCAAGACTACCAGTAACTCCAGTCCCAGGGAGCCCAATACCCTCTTCTGGCCTCCTGGGTTACTGCATGCACATGATGCATACACACACACACACACACACACACACACACACATACACACACACACACACACTTGGGCACATTACACATGCACATACACATAAAACAATAAGTAAATTGTTAAAAAGTTGTAAATTTATTTTAAATTGTTCTAATTTTATGAATATTGTGCTCTTATGTAAAAAGGATATTGCACAATGCTTTCATATTTCATTGTCATTTTTTCATACTCTGGTGAGATTTCCATAAATATTGATTTTTAAAAGTAACACAGAGAATGTCTTAATTGTAATTTCAATCACCTATGAAGAACTGAAAACAGAGTATTACATTCATATAAAAGACAAGTACATAAAATCATATGGCTTCAGTGTGAAATAATAAACGTATATACTTAATAGAACTTAAAGAAGGCAAAATTAAGAATGATAGGAAAATAGAATGCATTTCTAACAGCCTTCCAAAATATACTCTGGCTTTTGAAAACTGTTAAAATTTGAAGAATTCTAAGACTGACTGATCACATTATACATTTATTATATTGAAGAAACAAATGCTTTATGTTCTTTTTTAAAATTAGATTAAAAATTCAAATTTGCACTGGTAAAGTAACAAAATATATTAGATGATAATGTGAAATTCTCCCAAATAACATGAGCCAGAAACAAAAAAGGCAGAAAATGCCTGTATCACACCATGGCATCCATAAACATACCTGTCCAAAATTTGAGAAACTATTATATTTTCCATAAACAACAGTTATTATGTAGTTATGAAGTAAATACTGAAAATTTAAGAAACAAATAATAATGGTCAGAAAACTTCTGATTTTTATAAGTTTATTACAGTTATTTTTATTTGCCTCTTTGCCTTTTTATCATTGGTTTAGCAGCAGGGGTAGGTAAGAGGGTGTGAGCCTCGGGTACCAAGGATGATTTTGTTTCATTTTGTACTTGCTATTGTTAGATGTGTTGCTCAAACAATTCAAGAACACACTCAGCTTCCTCTATTTTTTTTCCTTTCTGTATTTCCAGAAAAGTTCAACCATGGCATTAGATAAAAACATCACATGCCTAATAAACCATTTACTCTTGCGTTGCCTCTGACTTATATAAGCCCTACATTATTTCAGTAGTGTCTGTGTTGGTGTTAGATATCCCACATCATGATTTCTTAATACTTAAGACTCAACAAATTCATGTTTTATGTACATTCTGGGCACCAGCATCCTGTGCATATACTCTATCCACTATCTGCTCAATACTTTATGAACTCTTGAAAAAAAGTGCAGAAGATATCATGAAAACCAAAATCAAATAAACGAAAACAGTTACTAAGAGGAAAGAGAAAGCCAGCATTGTGACTTATCCTTGTAATGCTAACACTCAGGTGACTGAGGCAGGAGGATCACGAGTTCAAACCTATCCTCAGCTATGTAGTGTGTTTGAGGACAGCCTGGGCTAGATAGTGCAACTCTGTCTCCAAACACAAGTGTAAAGGCTTGTATTGGACACCTTTATTCCCAGCACTCAGGAAACAGAGAGAGGCAGATTTCTGTAAATTCTACATAGCGAGTTCCAGGCCAACCAGGGTTACATAGGGAGATCCTGTCTTCAAAACAAAACAAAATAACAATAAATCAAGCATAAAACAAATTGATTAGTTCAATTGTGACTTGAACATGAAATACTGATTACACTCCAGGAAACATACAAATGATTCCATCCAAAAATTAGTCTCATTCAAATTGATGAAGACATATTTACAGTAAAAGAAATTGAAGTTGTGTGATGTAATCCAGGTGAGTGCCAGACTTGCTTGTGAAGGCAACTTTTACATCTAGACAAGTTGCTAAGATGTGATTGTAATCTTGTTAATATTCTCTTTTTTTTTTCAAATGTAATGTGTTCATTTTACTTATCTGTCATTAATGCTTAACCAAAGAAATTCATGGTAAGGTAGACAGAAAAACCTCAGCTTCTACCCAGATGACTGGTTGCAACATGATCCTCACTGTCTTTGCAAAATACCAAAATTCATTACACCTCCAGTGAGAAGGAAACCCATCAGATGCAAATACACACCTTAGTAATGTTTTAATTCAAAGCAATAATTAAGCTTCAGGCAACTGTGCCACCTAAAAACTTTACTTCCCTGTCAATATAAAAATACTAAATAAAGCTGGGTAGTGGTGGCACACGCCTTTACTCCCAGCACTCAGGAGGCAGAGGCAGGCAGATCTCTGTGAGTTCAAGGCCAGCCTGGCCTACAGAGTGAGTTCCAGGATAGTCAGAGCTACACAGAGAAACCCTGTCTTGAAAAACCAAAAACCAACTAACCAAACAAACAAAAAACTAAATAAAATAAGAACTGTTTTGTGATTGAAAATGTCACTACATTTTAAGAAAACAAAACAACACTTTTAAAAATCTCACACACACATACCCCAGGCTTCTGTGTCAGTAATCAAAACCACAGAAGGTTATGTGAGACCTCCACAGTCATTCAAGCTCGGGTAAGCCTAACATAACATTTATCTTACATTTAACAAAGCAAGAATAGTTTTTAGAAAACATAGTTATTTCATTTACAGTATATATTGACTATGATTTGTCAGTTCCACAGATTACATTAAAACCTAGGTTACATAAAGGAGGAAATTTCCCATTGTGTTTCCCATTCCGGAGACTCTGTGGCTGATGTGGGTACAGTTTGTGGACTATAGTGGTGAGCTCACAGTACTTTACTTGGGTGATTTTACTTACCTTATAACATTCAGAAGAAGCGTTGGCTCTTCATTTACACTTAAGTAGCATGATAAATGACTTCTGCATTTAGAAACTAAACTGTCAAACTTTAATTTATCTTTAAAATTATTTTAAAGATCTTATTGGAAACATTCCCACCCCCATCGGCAGTATTTTTTTTTAAAGTAGAGTTTCAAGTAGACTTCACATTTTCACATGAACCTAAATTCAACAGCAGCTCTGACATCGAGACTTGAGTAATACAGTTTGGACTTTTAATTCTTTAAAAATACACTCTTTACACAATGGCACATGTATTTAGTCCCAGCACCCGTGATAGGCACAGACAGGCAGATCCCTTGAGTTCAAGGCCAGCCTGGTCTCCACAGCCAGTTTTAGGCCAGCTAGGGATATATAGCAAGAACCTGTACCAAGAATAGTGATAGTAGGAGGCATTGTTCTCCTCAACCTACATGGAGGTCTGAAAGTCAGTCAAAATCAGAATTGAACGGTGATCTACATTGGGTCTCCCTATTTTTTTGAGAAAAAAAAAAGGTTGCCATTTTCTAGGTCCATTTTTATTTGTAAGCTTTCATGGGGGTAGGAGTAATATGTGGGAAACACCCTAACGTCATAGTCACTATTATGTTTTATATGCATAATTAAATAATGCAGATAGAAATAAAATTGAACTGCCAGTCAAAGCTGTTTGTTTCACATACAGAACACAAGCAGGAGACACAAATTGGTTTTAAGTACTTAAACTCCTAAGCCAGAACGCTGTTTTCAGTGTTGAACCACAATCAGGACCACAGCGTCATATGAGTAAGAAGACCCCACGAATCTACTGTTTGTAGGTTTTACCTGTTAAAGTTGCCCAGGGAAATAGAGTGTTGTGCCTTCTCTTCCTTAAAAATAACAAATTAATAAAAAGAAAAGGATACATTAACCTTTTAAATACACAATATCAATACTTTGAAGAACTGACAGTGTAATCTACAGATATATGTGCCACAGACTATGAGAAAAGAAACAATTTAGGGGAAGAAATCACATTACAAAATGTATTATAAAAATAAATTACACAGCATGTGCCCACAGACCTGAAAGCTTTGCAAAGAGAAGAAAACTTTCTTTGGCACAAAGATTCAATTGCTTTTGCTACATTTGTTCATATCATCCACACTGTGGTTTTTAACTGTTAAATTGTATCCTCAAAACAAAAATCACTGGAAGTCATAGGGTGTTTCCAGTCAACATCAGTAGCATTCAGGACCTTAGTGATGATTGAGGGCTGTGCTTGGTAATCTCATCTGGAGCTCATTCGCAACTGGTGAATGATGATGCTTTCTATAAAGAGAAGAAAGACACGGCATTTTCAATTAAACTCAAGTCAGTAGTTGATGTGAAGACCAGTACCACACCATTTCAATCAAAGACTGTAAATGTTAAACAACAAAACAAAAGCAGGTACCTGAGGCCAATACCAACAGCTCTGCAGACTTCGCTATTGGGGAGAACTTCTTTATATTTCATGGGTGTTTTACTTCCAAAATAAAGCTCTATAGAAACCATGTCTAATATTTTATATTAGGTTGATCTTACTCAATGAAAGAGCTAAGTTAGCATATAGTCATTACTATGTACAAGTTGCATAATGGGAAAATACTTTTCCTGCAACTGTTCTCCCAGATGAACACTCTCTGTTCTGAACAATGCCCGAGTGCTGGGATTAAAGGCATGCACCACCACCGCCCAGCTAACTTCTTTTTTCAGTGCATGTAGATTGGATGTTAATGAGGACACAGTCCCTTCATGTTCCACAGAAGTCAAGAAACAATTTGCTCTCTGACTACTGCTTTTGCATAACTGGCTAATGCTTTTTTTTTTTAATATCTAAATTTATTCTTTTTGGATAATTACCTTACTTATTTGAGTGAGTGTGTGTTGTGCATGCACACCTGTGGAGTTCAAGGGACAGCTTTTAGGACTTGGTTACCTCCCTTCACCATGTAGGTCCCAGGAACTAAACCCAGGTTGTTAGGCTTTCCAACAGACCTCTCTCCTCACTGAGCCACCCCACTAGCCCCATAAATTCATTCATGATTTGTTTATTTGTTTGTCTGGGTTGCTTTTGTTTCCCCCCCCCCCCGTTTTTTTTTTTTTTTTTTTTTTTTTTTTTGTTTTTTTGTTTTGTTTTTTTGTTTTTTGAGACAGGGTTTCTCTGTGTAACAAGTCCTGGCTGTCCCAGAACTCACTTTGTAGACCAGGCTGGCCTTGAACTCACTTTGTAGACCAGGCTGGCCTTGAACTCACAGAGACCCACCTGCCTCTGCCTCCCACCACCTGGCATTCATTCATTTTTTTAAAAAGATTTATTTATTATGTATACAGTGTTCTGCCTGCATGTATCCTGTAGGCCAGAAGAGGGCACCAGATCTCATTACAGATGGTTGTGAGCCACCATGTGGTTGCTGGGAATTGAACTCAGAACCTCTGGAAGATCAGCCAGTGCTCTTAACCTCTGAGCCATCTCTCCAGCCCTCATTCATCTTTTTTAAAACAATTTTTTACATTCATTTATTTGTTATGTGTAGGTGTGTGTACATGTGGAGGCCAGTGGATGACTTGTAGGCATTGGTTCTCTCCCCACACTATATGCATCCCAGGGATGGAACTCTGGCTTGGCAACATGTGCCTTTACCCACTGGGCCATCCCTCTTGCCCTCTTCAGTCTTGTAATAAATTTCAAAGCTGACTCGGTAATTAAAAGAGTCCAGCCACATCACAAACATTTAGTATCACATTGTTTGATTGGCTTTCCTTTCCTATTAGCCTTTGTGCTCTCATCAGCTTGTGTCATCACATTTTTCGTTCAGTCATTTTGAAACGATGTACTGAGGTAGTAGACCGTCGTGGGAATGGAGCTAGCTTGGTGAGAAGACCCAGTCCTGTAGCCACTGAGATTATGCAAAGCAGAAGAAAGAAAATGGCTCCACCTGAGACCTTCACCTCACTGTCAACCTATGGCAAAGATGTAAGTGCAGAAACACACCAGGGTGTGTGTTGCTCAACTGTAGCATGCTTGCCTAGCACGTGAAAGGCCCTGAGTTCTTTCCTCCACAACCTACTCCATCCCCACCCCACGCCCCAAAGAAATAGTATTTCCACCTATTATTTTCACTTTAATTACAAACGCACACTATTACAACTTTATTTTACTTTGGTAGTTAATACTTAGGTAGCCGTGAACTAAATTGCATTACATCATAAACCTACCTACAGGTTCATGCTAACTGCGTGGTGGGTGATCCTCTGCAGAAAATGCTTTTGAATTTTGGTTTCATTAGCTGCCTCATGGAGGCCACTAGGTGGAGATATTTTCATTTCCCTTTCCAGCTTTTTGGCTTGTTTGGGTTTAAACAAAACAAAGTTTAGATGAAGAACATAAATGCCTTATACTTAAGACATTTGAAGGCTTTGCATAGCTTTAAAAATATACATGCAAAAATAAATATATATATAGTTTTCTCTAGACCTAAAACACTTTTAAAAACTCTAAAAATGGATCCATCTTCAAGCCAGAAAAGTAAAAGCAGTTACTAAGATACTATGTAAAAATCATCATCTAAGATTAAAATACTATTTCCTACTTATTGCTTTAAAAAAAATTATGTACTATGTACCAAGGAATCTTCACGAGACCTACATCACAAATTCTGCTTCCAGAATGTAAGCATCTTCCCGTTTCCTTCCTTATGGAATTATAAAAGCAAATGTCAGAGAGGAATCCAGAATCATTGTTAGTGTGGATATAACTCAGAATGCTTGTTCTCATCGAGGATAAACAATCAAGGTACCAGAAATCATTGTAAGTTCCCCTGCATAGCTAACATTTTTGGCTTTTACACCTTTCTGAGTGTGCAAGCCTCTTCATTCCTAGAGTCGCCTTCTCTTGACATTTTACAATCCACACAACAATGACTTTAGAATTCACATTTGGTGAAGGGTTGGCTGACGGTTTATACAGAAGAAACAATATGATGGTCTCACTATTTGGCTTCATTAGTACATGTAAATTAGCAAACTGGCAACCAATATGTAAATGTGTGTATTTATAGTAGACTTTCAGAAATACTTGATATTTCCAAACAACGGGTTGTTGTATATAAATTGTACCTTCATAATAAATGATGTCTAATATCTGTAATTGCTTATGATATGTTTTCCTCACATCTCAAATGAACTCAAATAAGAATCACTCATCTGACACCTGAAATTGTGAGAAATAAATATTGTACAGCATAAGGTTTTGAAGTTGTTCATTAAATAGTTTTTTTTTTTTAATTGTTGAGAGGCCAGCAAGATTGCTCAGTGAGGTGACTCCAGCTTAATGGCTTGAGCTTGATCCCCAGGACCCACATGGGAGAGAGAATGGACTCTTTCCAAGTTATATGTTCTGTGTCACATGTGACACACACACACACACACACACACACACACACACACACACACACACACAGAATGAGGGAGGGAGAGGAATAAATAAATACATAAATTTTGTTTAAATTTTTGTTGTTGTTGATGATGGTAACAAAGTTGGCAAATATTTTTGCACCTCTTTTATTATTAGAAAGCTTTCATTGTATCCCAGAAAAGATCCAAGCCTCAGTCCCCTGGGGTCTCTAAGGAGAGGTTAGAGGTTATAATGACCAGGCACAATTCTGGAACAAGTTTCTCTTTCTATAAACACATCTTTGTGACACTTGTAATTTGTAAAGTATTTAATAAATAATAAAGACCAATAATCATAGTTAATTACCCACTTATTGGCAAACAAACTAACAAAAACACTTGGACTTGGGAGTTTTTAATACCCAGGCACTTATTGGCATAATTTTCTTTTCCTTTTTTTTTAATTGAAAGAAAAACATCTTTAAATTGTGAATGTCATATGCATATGGAGGACACTGGATTTTTATATACTTTTGACAAGAATTTACCAAAATTCAAACTTTCCATTTCTTTCACTTGTTATCATGCTGTTTTCTCCTTAAGAAACTGTGGGCAACATAGGAGACACATTATTTGCTATTCTGATACTGTTGTGATAAGGTGCCAATCTACTCTTTCGTTACATAGCTGTTAGATAAGTTCCACACAAAGCAAACTAAACATCATCACTTCCAAATTTTGCTTCATTTCCGACCTTACTTAGCATCTATTCCCTTGTGAGTAGTATCACAGAAACTTTTAACCAATCAGATGACTTGGATTTCAAAGCCACGTGAATGGGGTAGGATCTGGGGAGCATTCCCTTGAGTGCCGGAGTGGGACAACCTAACAGCAAGTTGGAAATCTGCTTCTTCCCGGGAGAGTGCTACAGAGTGGGAAAGATGTCCTCCCTCACAAGACATTACCTCCTTCCCATGCAATGTGTGTACTTTTGCTCTGCCAGAATATCTACAAAGAGCTCTTGAGCTCTGCGTTTTAAAAGGTCCCCTCCTGTAAATTCAGCCAAACTCATCCAACAGCTGAACTCTAAGCTCACACAGCGAAGACAAAGCGTGGCAGCATCTTGCCTTGTAGACGGGCTTTGCATCTAGGGAGGAGGATGGCTTTGTTCGTAGAATATTTTACATCAACGTAAAGCATTTCCTCATGGCTGTTGCCCATCTGGCTGCTGCGCTACAGCCTGCCTCCCTGTTCCATGACTCCCTCCTTACCAGGGACTCTGTGGAGGAGCCACACCAGCCATCTTCTTCCCCTCTGCAAGCTTCCAAACCTCAGCTTTGAGCTCGCTGCTCTCCAGGTAACTTACCTACCTGCAGAAATGCCCTACAAATATCCTGTATGCCATTTAGAAGGGAGAACACCTAGATATTGTTTGTTTTTATGCATGTCCAAGTTCCCTAAACTACATTGGGATACAATCCTATTATCACATTCAGAAATCCTGATAAAACATCTGTTTTAAATAGGAAGTCCAACAAACTTCCTCTGTTGGCTTGGGCTTGTACTCCTTGTTTTGGATTGAGCTCAGCTAATTAAAAATACTTCCGATAATCAGTTCTGTCATTTGTTCCAGAAAACTTTTGAACCGGATGATATCATCTCTCTTGGGGTTTCATAATCGTTGAGCCCTTTATTTGATTCCTTCCCAAAAACAGTTCTTCCTCCACCGTCACCAGCCCAAATAAGCCCATCGTCTCTCTAGGTTATAGGAGTCACCAATAATTGTTACTAATCACTTACTTTTCAGGCAAGCCAATCCTTACCTCTAGCACTGAATGTTATTCCCAGAACAAGCAAATTTGAACTGCTTCCCTCAAATACAACATTATCTATAA